GCCTCGGACTGGAACTAATTGCGCGGACTTGAAATCCCGTCCTGTCCTCATTGTCGGATTTGAAATATTACTTCTTATCCAGTGGATAAGTAAATGCTGTCATCCAATAAATCTATCCACTGGATGAGAATTATCCGTCAGATAGTACTATTCATCCTTCATATAACCGTGCTGTTGGCCAACAACCTACCCACACTGATTTAGAAGTGACATATTCTTTACTATTCTCTACATCCTTGTAATAACATTGAAACCATAACGTCACATCATTATGCTGAATTGGCGTGTACATGATCCTTTATCAAACAACTGCCAAATTGTTTATTCTCACGAGAATAAAAATCTTTGTTTAATCTAGATATTATATATTTATTATCAAACACTTAAATGTGTGTTGTGCCAGTCAAGTTTAGCGAGTGTGGCCACAGTCCAGAAATCGAAGGACTGAAAAGTTTAGAAGCATCATCAAGTAACGTTTGTTATTTGCCTTGACCAACAGCTAGTGGACTTTGATGATATTTTGCTAGTGAGAAAAAAAAACTGGCTTGCAAGGTTTTGCTAGTGGGTTTAAATGTTAATATCTTCTTATGTCATAATGCCATATTTCTATTGTTATTATAGATGGACAACACTGTTATCACACCACCTCATCAAGCAACTATGTTCACCCGATTCCAGTACCCTCCTGTGCAGCCAATGTTCAACAGTGCTCAACAGGTACACACTCATTCATGTAAAGATGGTTTGTCTGATTCATATAAATAAACTCCATTAAATTCCAATAATCCTGACTAGAAATAGACTAGAAATACTCCATTTTCAAATTCTGTTGTATGGAATTATTGGGAATATTCATGCAATTCCAGTAAAGGTTGATGGAATTTCAAAGTGTTTGTATTTTTGAACAGGAGCATTCTTTACTTTATCATTGGTATTCGTAGATTTTTGGGCACTTAAATGGGGCTTACCCTGCATAAATGAGCCTGTTATCATATTTATATGATTATAAAGTATGCCAATAATACCTTTTATACCTGGTTATAAAGTATATGTCTGCCCAATTAACTTTCATGAATATTAAGAAGTTTAATATTTTTCTGTGTATCCAGTATGGGCCGCCATTTTATGCTGCCCCTCCCAATATGATGCATACATGGCCTCCAGCACAACACTTTCAAGATCAGCACATGGTAAGTCTTATTATCCAGCCATACTCAGTAGAGTGTAAATATTGAAGAAAAGTTTTGGAGCAAGTGCAAACATCCAGATTTGTCACAGAGACTCTCTAAAAATATTCAACCTACTTGCTGTGGAATGAAAGGAAACTTTGGGAATTCGAGGACATCCATGAAAGAAATATTTGCTCCACCAAAGCTTGAAAGAGCTTTGAGAATGATGTAAAAAGTAATATAGACAGGCACACAGTGAATTGTGGTTGACTAGGATTCATTAAGGTCGATATCTCAAGGCCTTAAGCTAACTGTCTAAATGCTATAGACCTAAACCACTTTTCGGATTTCAGACCCTGCATGTGTCATTCCCTAGAGTATTATTTTTTTGTTTAACAGTTGCACATGAGAAGACAATTGGATATGGATACAATTCACACAAACGATCGTTTTCTCAAAAGAGTTATACATGGTCTAAGATAAGCAAAACATTGTGTGTGCCCAGGTGGATTTGGTCCATCCTAACTGATGATGATCCTATTTTTTTCTTCAGCAGCAGGGCTTTCCTCATAACGGATATAATCCTGGTCCTTTGAAGGGTAAACATGACAGTAAGTATTATCACCTTGTATGCCCAGGCTTCATTTTCAAAACCACCAATAATACTTTTTACAATAAATTTCTCGCTCGCTGACTGGTTATTTTTTATTATCATTTTATTAAATTTAAAAAAATATATTGGTCTGAATTGATTTATCGGTGAATGGAATAGGCCAAAAGAAGTTTATTATTAATAGAAAGAGATTTACTGGTGATTAAAATGTCATTATTCATCCTTTTATCTTTTCCCCTCACTTTAGAAACTGGTGGCAATTCAGTGCGACATTACCAGCCCAACCGACAAAGGTATCCCAACTCCAATAAGAACAATTTCCGAGATCAAACAAATGATAGAGTGGAGAGAGAAGGTAGTCATCGATCTAAGCCCCAGAGCGCTAATGGCACAGCAGGGAATGTACCACCTTCCAGCAGTCCGAATGCCACATCAAGCATAAACAGCAGTAGTAGTCCTACCACTGTAACAAGTACAAATAACCCTGCTAACAGAGAGAATCCTAAGAATACTACAGGGTCCTTCAGAAATAGAGAGAGCACAAGGGATGCAGATGAGTTTTCAAGGTATGTATGGTTAATGTTACTCATCACTCAGGGTTGTAAGTTCAGCGTGTTCAGAAGAAGCCGTAGCTCAGTTGGTTAGTGTGTGGCCTTCAGAACTAAAGATTTGTGATTTGATTATCAGGATCTTCAGATTCATTTACAGCACTATCCACCCTACGTACAACTGGGCCCTGATTTGAGTTCTCTCTAATCTGTGTAGCTTCAGCTTTGAATACTCTCATAACAGATGGTGGGGGGTAAAGTGTGTACCCATCAGTTCCCTGGAAAACCAAAGCTACTAGCTGAAGGAACACTAGTATTAACATGAAATATGGCCTTTCACTTTAACCTTTTAAAGTCATGAAAATTTTTAGATATTGATTAATCGAGTGAGGCCATACACTACTGTATAATCTTTTATATTCCTAAACTTTTGACGGTCATGGTCATCATAAAAGGCAAAATTAAAAAATTCATATTAAAAAATGGCCTCACTCGATTAACCAATATCTATGCAATGCACTATGCTACTCAGCCCGGTTGTAGAAAGCCTGGATAGTGCTATCAGACAGATAAATATTATCCAGTGGATAAGTTTATTGGACAAAAGGGCAAAGACTTATCAACTGATTTTTCCACCCAATAGCGCTATTCAAGCTTCATACAACCGAGCCCTGAAAGACAACTTTATTCTTTTTCATGGAAATTTGTTTTTCATTTCTGTTCAAACACTAACACTATTATATCACTGGGACTACAATAATTGTCTTTAATAATAGCAGTCCTGATCTATATTAACTTGTCTTTCCTGTACATTAAATGACGATGATTTTACATTGTCTATTAGAAGAAGCTCAAAACCTATAAGAAGAAGAAGAGGAAGCAGTGAAGATATAAGACGGGAGACTGTAAGTATAGATTTACAGGGTTAGCAAAAGACTTTTTCTATGAAACCCCTCTTACCATTTGGCTCTTCAACTGGGGTACAACAAATTATGCTAACTTTTTTATTCATTTTAGCGTCATAAGGAAAACCGTTCCAGTCCGGTTCGTCACAGTAAAGATGACAGTGAGGTTTCAGAAGTTTTGAATCCTTCAAACTTTCCTCCTTTGCCAACTGGAAAAGTGAGTTGATTCTTTAAGGAATTCTGTTATTCCAATTATCCAGTAGCCCCCTTGTATGATAAAGGATGTGGATATCTGTATGCCATGAGGATGGAGTTTTTTTGTTATCACATTCAAACACATGGTATTTATGATTATTGTTCCCCAAATTATGTTTATGATGATAATGGGTTTTTTTTATTTTCAGAAACAATCAGTGGAATCATCTGAGTCAAAGGTAATCTTTTTATAGCAGTATCATCTCTATCAAATCCAAATTGTTTTTCCCCAAATAATTTTCAGGCATTTTAATGATACGTTTGTTGCATGAATATTGGTATAAGGGAATGACTAGACTTTTCACAATATTGCATGTCCACCACCAAGATTTTCACAAGAAAAAGGCTAAACAAATTATATTTGTCAATGACATGGTCAATATTGGTTGACTGATGCTCAACCTTCAGAAATTTAAAGTTTCATTTGCTTTTTGCACCTATTTCCCACAGTTAAGTATTATATTTATCTTATTTATTTATTTATTTATCTGTCAGTCTGTTTGTTTGTTTGTTTGGTTTATTTATTTATTAGCTTTACAACTAATACTTATGAAGAGAAAAAAACAAAGAAAATCACTAGTTGAGGGAAAGATCAACAGGACAAGAATCTTATAAAGTTCTTCTGAAATAAACATTTACAAATGCTTTAAAAAAAAAGAAACAAAAAAGGGAAAATACTGAAATGCATGAAATTTATTCAAGTTTTTCAAAACAAACAAACAAAGAAATATATCTAGACACAACCAAATAATAATGATATTAATATTCCTCAGAGTGTACCTGCAAAGGTTGACAAACCTGTTGTAACTCCAGTACAATCCCCTGCTCCGTAAGTACAATGTTTATTTATGCCTATTTAACAAAAGGTTGCCTGAGCCAAAAGGTAGTGGGCAATAAGCAATAGGAAATAGGTTGTTCCAAGATTTAAGAATAGCTGAAATGCAAGGCTTGCATTTCTTATTATTATCCTCATCAAGTGTTGAGATATCCAGTGTTGTTTGTAGTTTGTAGTAAACCACTTTAATGGCTTTGATTCTTCGTGTTTAGTTGTTCCCAATAACTCCTTTCAGTCTTGCAATGACCTATGGCCTTATCTCCTATGGCTCTGACAACCTTTTATGAAAAGAGGCGTAAATCATCCTGTAGTGTTTGCTCAATTTTGTAACCTTTTATATTCATGCTGTTACTTTGGACAGCTAACAATAACTATAATAAATATAATAATAATAGCTTGTGATACCTTGACTACGTCTGAGTAAATATTCACCAATATTCACTTTGCTTTTGGTTGAATAATTGTGTAATGATTAATTTACAATTATTCATGTTAATATGCACATATAAATATTTATATAATTAATTATATTTATATAATTAATTATATTTATATAATTGTTCACTTACTAAGGTGGTCCAAGATTACAGAAAATATTTTTGAATTATTCATGTTAACATGTAAATATTTATATAATTAATTATATTAATTTTTTCTATAATCGTTCACTTACTAAGGTGGTCCAAGATTACAGAAAATGCCAGTGCACAGAACAGGTAAATTTGCTGCTTTTATGTGTAGATATACTAAGGTGTATTTAGTAAATTATGGGTTGTACCAATATTATTTAAAATGATAACCCAAGTTTTATCTCATCTACTTTAAAATGCCAACCTACCAACAGTTTGCTAACACACATCCCTACCTAAACACGTCTTAATAATACAAGCCCACAGCAATTACTATAAATTGTATTGAACTCACTGAAACAACCTCTGAGCAGAACAAAGTCAGGGCACAGCTAAATCATGGATCAAACCCTGAAACAACCTCTGGACCTGATCTAAGCTAGGTACGACTAACTCACAGATAGAACCCTGAAATGACCTCAGGACTGATCTAAGTCAGGGCATAGCTAACTCGCAAATTGAATATGGATTTAGCTTGTTAGATAACCCATACCTAACTTTATTCATCTTCTCTAAACAGACCTAAACCAGAGGCTGTGCCTCCTCCACCCAAGCCATTAGAAAAGCCAGTCTCACCAAAGGAACCAGCACCAAAACCAGAGAAATCTCCTCCACCAGTTGTTGCTGCAGTAAGTAAAGAATGGCTATATCTAATGTATGGTATAAAGATATCCATGCCGCAGTCAGTCCCTTGGTGTTGTGACAATTTTTTTAAGGAATATTATTAATTACCCTTTGAGGACTCTAGCTCCCTGGCCATTTTTTAAGGTTTTTCACTGTTACCTAGGAAAATCATATTTGGAGTTTGGGTTGACGCTGTCATTGTTTTATGCTATTTAGAAATTATGTTCACTGGCAGCATGATCTATCAGTGCAGAAACACAGCATTTGCAGCTTGTTTTTGGATGTGTTTCAAAAATTGAGGGTATCATGTAGAACCCTGAGAGTTCTTAAATCAGCATTATGTCATAGAACTGAGAGTATACAAGGGATTGTATCATCAAAATGTTATATTTGCTTGATGTAAATTGTTTCTTTTTACCAGGAAAAGCCTACAACAACAACAACGACCACAACAACACAGACCAGTTCAAACCGACAAGCAGAAAAGAAAAGCTATGCTCAGATGGCTGCCCAAAAAAATCCAAAGCCTGGATGCAACTCCAGTCCACCGCCAAACAACCAAACCAAATCTCCAGGAAAATGAACCAATGGTAATAATACTAATGAATCTAAACTGCCACCTGGTTAGCTCAGTTGGTAAGACTGTCAGTCTATTGTGTGAGAGGTCGTGGTTCAAGCCTCGGCTAGACCAACACTCAGTCATAAAATAACTGAGGAAAAGGTGCTGCCTTTGTAGTGACAACTATGAATGGTTAGACCTTTGTGTGGCTTGGATGATCACAATAATGGCGGTCCCATCTCTAATCAACTAGAAGGTTAAAAGAGGACTACAAGTTTATAAACAAAGTTAATTTATTTTATTCTTTATATAAAAATAATTACTGATCTATGACTGATAATAATATTTCCTTTACCTCCAACGCAGCGCTCCTTTTAGTATAATGATTTTCATCAGTTTTTGTGTTTGCTTTATATTTTGTAGGGACAAGTAGTTAGTCTTCATATGCTGCAAAAAAGTATATAGTATCCATGGCAACAGCATTACTATTTAAAAATGATTGACATTAGACTGCACCAACAATTCTGCCTGTGGTTTCAAAATAAGGCTGCACAACAAAGATTAGATGGGATTCATGTGATTGTGATTTTGCAGCATCAGAGTTGACACAGCATCTGTGTAAGACTTGAGGTGGCACAATTAGGTTGAACAATATGGGGTATTGAATAATTGCAGCATCCAATGCAACTTGACCATGGCAAGACTTGACAGCCAGGAATAAAGAGATTTTTGATGAAAAATAGACAAGCAGTGAAGACTAATTACAGTGCAACATGCACTTGCAAAAAGTGTGTGCTTATCTACGGATCAGCAAATGTAAATACTTACGAGAGGAATACATTTGGGAATGTTATGTGCATACTTTAAAATGTAACACTAAGGAGAATAATTGACCTTGGCTCTGATTTCAGAGTGCACTATTAGTAGCCTTTAATATGGCAGCGTAAAAGACTTAATAGTGGCAGTATTGTACACTATGGACCCAACAAAAGAAACAAAAAGGACAAACTACCAGTACAATGGCATATATCAGTGATAGTTGGAAACAATGTCCATTTATAATATGCTACATTATTAATGTCAAACTTGTGGAATTGGCTACCTAGTTGAAATGGCAACAGAGCTTTTGTAAGGTTGCCTTTAGAAACTAAGGACAGCTGTATCATGCCGAGAAGAAAAGGTATACAATGGATACTTTGTTTGTGACATACTGTAGGAGATACTGTCTTGGTATTGTTACAACTGGTGGTCGTTAGTGGTCACTTGTATAAGTTATGTCAAATACACATATAAACATGTCATTTATAAAGCTTCAAGTATCTCGTAAAGAAATTTATGGCAACGCAACAAGTAAATTGGTCAGGAACACTATGGCTGAGTGATCAAAGTATTTCATATTGGCTGTTCTAGTACCATGTAACATCCTGTGTTATCTTAGTCTTTGTGAGAAGAAACCTTATTACAGCATGGCTCAGACAGTGAAGTGGAAAAACTAGTCAAGACATCTTCTGGTCTGTGCACTTCATAAATCTTTGCCATCTCATATAATAATAACTTAATCAAAAAGTATTAATTATTGATGTGATCTTGACATGGCTGTCCATCATTTGTTGCTTCCAAAAATGACACTCATCAAAAACAATTAACGCAACTCCACGTTTTGAAGATATTGTTACCACAATAATCAGGAGAAAATCTTCAAAAAATTTGAAAAGATTGGACAAATTTATTGCACAAAGACAATCATACATTCATGTAGAATACATATGATCCAAATATATTTTATGAGTTACTATAAAGTGTGTGGTGTACAAATAATACATCTGTCGCAGTAGACACTGGAGTTCAAAAGGGTCTTCATTACTGCCTAAACCATAGTTGTTTCAATGTCACTCTTGACTGATAAATCTGTCTGCGTCTGTTACCTTCAAACTGAAGATGGAATCCCTGTGTTGGAACTAGCAAGTATGTACTTGGAAACAAAGCATATTTTGATTATTCATGCAATTGGAATTCCTGTGGAAATACCTGCAAGTCGGTGTATTGAGCCATTCGATGGGATTCCTGTGTTGGAACTAACAAGTGTGAAACTTGGTTTCAAGTCATGTTATGGGGTTCCAGTGGTACAGAGTAAGGTACAGACTTGTTTTGAGCTGGGAGGTTATTTTAAAGTCTTTATTTTTGTGTAGGATTCAAGCTCTTTGCAGGACTCAACCTTTCTAGGATTTGCGTGTCTTAATTGGATGTAAGAGGAAAGATAAAGGTGCCATATACACTTTTTTCAGAGAATGTTGTTGGAGCCAAAGGTGCAGGATGTATTGCATTCGTTTACTCAGCAGTAGCTGAGCAGCACTTCTAGTCATTCACATTGGTTGAGTCCTACAAAGATAAATCTTATGAATATCATTAGCTAGTAGTTCTGATTTACTAGTAACAAACTGATATATTGATTCTGTTCTCAGAATATAGTAAAAAGATAAACCTCTAGTCTTGTTTTATAGGAATGATATTCCATAGATCAGAGATGGCTAGCAACTGAAAAAAATGTTATCCAATCCTCACTTAAAGTGCTTGTCGACAGGCGAAAGCTACTTGCTGGAGTTACAGCAAGTTGATTTGCAGCCTAGAAAGTGTTCCAAGTAAATATGTATTTACTTGATATCCATAAATGGCACGTTTTTCTTGTGGGTTCAAGAAATCATGATCGCCAGAGAAATAGCAAAACTGTTCTAATACTAGTAATGGTAAAAAAGACGGTCTCAAAACTGTCAACCTGCTGTTACTTTTATTATCTACCAGCAGCCTAATGACAACCTACGAACACCCTAATGACAACCTACGCAACACCCTACTGACCACCTACGCAACACCCTACTGATCATCTACCMACACCCTACTGACAACCAACCAACACCCTACTGACAATCAACCAACACCCTACTGACAACCCATCAACACCCTACTGGCAATCTACCAACACCCTACTGACAACCTACCAACACCCTACTGACAACCCACCAACATCCTACTGACACCTCACCAACAACCTAATGACACCCTACTGACCACAAGTCAAAATACTACGATACTTTGCCAACACCGATTTTGGGGTTGTGTTTTTTCATTATTTCCCTAAAAGTATTCTGCAGACACTTGCAAATGTAATCTCCACTAATGTTTTCACTGATTGTCCCCAAGCATTTGACTGGAGTATTGGATAACAGAAGCATGGCCTTATTTTATGAGTAATTTGTAGATTTAGAAAGTAATATGCAACGCCTGAGGATAATCAAATGTTGCATGAAATATGGTCTCTTAAGACTGGTGTGCGTGATTATATACATAAATGTTATGTACTTAGTACCATGTGGTTCTGTCGTTTGGAGTACTTCCACTGCTTTAGTTTAAATAGATTATAAGTACCACTAATTAATGTTTTTTAAAAGCTTTTCTTCATATGTCAGAAAAACTGTTTTAGGTGTCATTGAAATCAAAAGTCAACAAGTTGACCTTTTTCTTGGAAAATGGATAAGGAAGAAAAAACAATATGAGCAAATAAAAAGAGAAAAATGGACAGTTCATTACGATCTGAAAATGTTTTTGAACAGACAATTATTAGATACACAATGTGTAGTCCCAAAAATTATCCATACCCTTCTCACAGAGGAATTTTTTAAAGACACCCCCCTACCCCCAGAAATTCCAATTTTCTTCCATACAAACTCTGTAATTTTTGTTCTTTCTCTGACCCCCCTACTCTTCAGAAATTCCAAATTCCTCTTTGGGGTGGGTATGGATGATTTCTGGAAATACTGTACACAATCTTGTATTACACACTGTTTTTTGGTCTTTGTGTTCTTGGCACAAATTACCAAGGTATAAGCTTTAATTATCCTCTATCCTGTTTAGTTGACAATGACTACAGGTTCTAAAGTTTCTCTTCTTCATCCGAGCCTTGTGTATCATTAGGTTGTGGGAGTTGAGGTCCAATGTTCCTAGGCTAGATACAAACAGTGTCTGACATGTGAAGAGAAGGATATTTTGACAGTTGCATACATTGCTACACCATCTAAAGACTATAATTGTATTTTGATTTTGAGGTGATATGTCATGTTCGATATATTAACATTCCAACTGTATGGCCAAGCTTTTGGTTGGTAGGATTGTACTTCATGTATGGTGTACACAAACAGGATTATCAAATCATTTTTCTGACATAAATGCAAGATGATATCATACAGGAGGTTTTTACCTTATACAAAATTTAAAATCTTGGTTAAAAAGCTAGTCTTTTAGAGTGAAGGCATTTAACCCATGCAACAGATATTCGACTAATACACATTAGTAGACCTTAATTCCATTGTTTTCTTTTGTGTCTTTTGTGTCTACACGTTGACTAGTATTTTTTTATTTCACGGTTTAAATGCCTTCACTCTAACCACTCATGCCTTAATAGAATCTAATAAAGCAAAATATCTACATATTAGAGTGCTTTTCATAAACGCGTGAAACAGATACCATTAGTGTGTAATGGTGAAATGACAGCAAAAGAACACAATTGAATTAGGGTTTACAAATTTGTATTAGGCTAGAGTGTGTATTTCACGGGTTTATGAAAACCACTGTTTAATTAGAGTGCAAACAATATAGCCGTGAAACTTTAGTAATACTAAATAGCACAATTTCATGCAAATTCCATTGCTTTCTATTTAATTAGCACTATTTTGTACTATTTAGTAATTAGTGTTTCACGGGTTAATTGTTTGCACTCTACAAAGAGATTCCTTGTGATCTAGTGAGGTTTTGATATTGGTTTAATATATCGTACATGGCCTGTGGCTTGAAGGAAATTTGTTACAAGACTCAAAAAAAAATAAAGTAATAGAGAAACCCATACAAATTTCGAGGAGAATTTAGAGACAAAAATAGAGCACAAGAATAATCTAGTTTTTGAGTGAGATTAGTTTTTCCGGTGTAGGCAAGGTGAGATGGATGGCTAAAAGGTCCTTAGTACTTATATTTATGGGGTACCTGTGAAAAATTAAGATTCAAGAATAGCCAGCTAATCTGACAAAAAATGTTAGACAATCAATCGAACAAAATTTGCAAAACTGTGTAAATCCCCCCAAAAGGTATCGAGCAATCACTTCACCTTTGGAAAAAATATCCTGCAATTTCTCCATTCAGTAAAAAAAAAAAATATCGAGCAAACCCAAAAAAAAATTGACTGCAGGGGTTTTTACAAGTAATTAATATTGTGCAACACAAATTCTTGCACCCCCCCTATTATCTAATGTTCGACCTCTTACATTCTCCATCTCCCTTGCGTACTTATCTCATAGAAATAATTCATGTATGTTAGTTCATGAAAATTCACATTGCATCTAAGTTAGAAACAAAATGTGATCATAAAGTATTATTATTTAATTGCAAAAGAATTATCAGCAGGTATTACTTTGTTTCTTTATATTGTTATTATAGAACCATAATTTATGCTTTAAATGTGACAAATAACTACATTATAATAATAGTGTTCTTGCCTCTTAAATACACCAAACTTTGTATGTAGAAAAAGATGGTTTTTGCTGAGCAAAGAGAGAATAGGATGGTTGGGAAACTTGAACATTTGATGGAATGGATTTTCCTACCCATTGTGCTTGTCAGTAGGGGTAGAAAAGGATCTGCTACTACTATCTATGTTGGCCTTGGCCTTGGAAGAAAGGAAGAAGGAGGGTGGGGATCTGGTAGGGGTAGAAAAGTATCCTCTGCTATGCAGCATAAAACCCTTTACCTACTATCCATGTTACCCTTAACCTTGCAGCAATTTGAGTAGTATGGGTGGCGTACACTGCTAACAGGTCATCTTTTACCACTGTGGTTCCAAAGGTTTGGGTCAGTGGTTCAAGCCCTGTGGACAACGTGAGATTGTTTGATGTGTTCTCTCCCTTGCTTTGAGGGTTTTCTCTGGTTTCCTCTCTCCATAAGAATCAACATGTGAGTTGAGCATTGTATGCATAGTATTCTATTCACATGGGTCTCACTGTACTCATTTATGATTATGGGAGTAGACCTGGCAGAGCTCTCAAAAGGACCAAAACAGCGCAAGGGTGGGAAAAAGAAAAAATGAAGAGAGCTACTGCAGGTCAAGGGAGTAAAGCAAGACTACTAAAGTGCTTGAAAATGCTATAGATACCGTACAGCCTTTGTAGGCTTGAAGTCGAATGACTGATATGTTAATCAGTTCTCATATATTTTATACCAGTGAGACTGCTGAGAATAGTATGTTTTTCAGCTTCTTTTTCTAGAGTGCAAACAACATAACCGTGAAACTTTAGCAATACTAAATAGTACAATTTCATGCAAATTTCATTGTTTTCTATTGTATAATTAGCACTATTATGTACTATTTAGTAATTAGTRTTTCACGGATTAATTGTTTGCACTCTATCATACTACTCAGGAATATACATTGTCCTACAGGCCCTTGTGGGTTAGATTTCACAGTCATTTTGGCATAAGTGGCTTAGGGGATGACAGCACATGATTAATTTTGGTATTACCTTTCATCTAGCTCTCTGAACCCCAAATGCCTATAAGTAATGTCTTCTCAGTAACACATGATTTCCTGCTAAGGGTCAAGACAGTTTTCTCCTGGTTTGCAATTTTTTATCTTATCTTAGGTGGGTTTTGAGCATGGGGTGTTTATCCAGATTCTGTATGATGGTGGCTGTCTGGTGCGAGTCTTGGGGTTTTTTAATTTATTTATTTTATTTATTATTATTATTATTATTATTTTGAGTTTTGGGGTCTTGGAGGATCATCTTTCATCATTGCTAGCATATGAAAGGTTTTTTTGCGGAGCCAGAACTACATGGTCCATGTTGACAAGATAGGCTTGACAGATGACATGGAACTATGCACAAAGTTAGATTGCCCAACACAATGTTTTACCTGTATCATTTATATTTTAATACTTAAACCAAGTTATTGGCCATCAAGCATCCATCTTCAGGGTTAATTATCACATGCCCCATTTAACTAATATTATGTAATTCATGGAAAGCACAGTAACCAAGAGTAAAAAATATAAATAAATAAATAAATCTAGCTAGTTTCTATTAGTTAGAACTTGGCAGTTCAGTGTGATTAAAACTGATTTTAGTTCAATGTTTGATTATCTTTTGTTGTATTTCCCAGTAGTCATTATGCAGGATTATTCCAAATTCCCAAATCATTGTTTAGTCTCTGAGAGTGTTGTTTCATTGTTTCTTTGACTTTTTGTTCTTTTCAACCTCTTGTTCCATTGATGAAGCTCTCTGAAAATATAGTGCAATACTGTTATCACTATTATTAGTAATAATAATTACATAATATATTTAATTAGAGTACAAACACTAAAAGTGTGCAACACTTTGCACTATTTAGTAGTAAATAGTGCTAATTAACCCTTTGACTCCTACGACGCCCGAAACCGCCCGTAACAAAAACCGTCCGTATTTCCTACGACGCCCGAAACCGCCCGAAAAAAGGACGCGCCAGAAAAAAAATTCCCCCTCCCCCCCATAGGCTTTTTGTTTGTTTTTATCGCCATAACAATAAACGTCATTAATTAACCAATCAGATGGC